GGTTTCGGGACCAGTTCCATGAATTTTGACGGTTACCCACCTTTGCTTACCATATCATTTTTGGAGTGCTATGGTTGAAATCATAATCGGATATTTATTATGGATTATTTTTGGTGTTTTACCAATATTTTCCATTAAGAAACCCACCATTGTAAATGATTTCAATTGGAGATCAAGCGTTTCAAGTTTAGAAGCTTGGATTCATGGTTGTGATGGGTTAATATGAATTAATCCTTGATTTATGGTTAGATTGGTGTTTAAAACGGTATTGGACTTTGATTCTTATGGTTTAAGACTCTTAAAATCGACCTTGGAATACCTGGATGGGAAAATCTGCAGTTGGGTTGAGTTTGGGATTGTGTAGCTCAAACAGTAGCTCAAGCGACTTAAGTCGCGACACAAGTCGCATTAGGCACTATCTGATGTCATGTCGATTTTTCTTCATTTCTCGATTTGGGTAGGTTCCAGACATGGTTTTAGCGGATTGCTTTAGGTATATTAATAAGTGGTTTTTGAGATAATTGATGTGGTTTAACACCATTTCTACGTCCGTTAATTAAGGTGTTCAATTTAAGTCTTATTAGTCGTTAGGGCGTATTGCGGTATGCCGAGCCTCAAGTGAATTCGTTGACCTTTTTATAAATGTGCAATTATTTACAAATGTTTTGAACATGGTTTTTTTGTCTTGATATTTTGAGTGATTTATTGTCTAAATAGTGTTTATCACATGGTGATACTGTTTTGGATATGTGGTTGGGTTTACACAGTGGAATTAGTGTACCATAGGATAGTGGAATCCCTTGGGAGTTTATTATCCCATGTGCCTTGAATTTGTTTCACGAGCACATTGAATAGACATCTTCTTGGCCCTTATGAATGTCACAGTGGTCTATGAACACTGTGCAAAGCCCGTTGGTTTTGCGTTTGGTTATTCACTTGGTTATTTTTGAGACTTTATGGCTATCTGTTACTTTAAATGATTAATTGTTTCACTAAACATGTTAAAGGGATTTCACTAGACCTTTTAGTCTAATCCTCACTTTCCAAACTTCAACTATTTTCAAGCAAGTGCTAAGTTGAAAGTCCTTCCAAGGGTAAAGGGAAGATGTAATGCACTTAGGGGCCGTTTACCTAAACACTTACCGGGTAAGTGATTAACGGTAAAATTCAACTCTATCCCCTTACTTATCGGGTAAGATTTTGTCTACCAAAACGACATCGTATGTATTAATAAGCGTTAACCGTGGTAAGAGCCGTCTTCATCACTTACCCGGTAAGGCTTTCGGTCCGTGTCTTTTGCTCTTACCAGGTAAGATTTTGGTCATTACCATATTCATCCGGTAAGGAAATATGACTTGGTAAGCGCTTACCCGAGTAAGCATTTGGTAAACGGCCCTTTAGTGTTGTAGTGATGGCTTAGTTTACATGAAGGAATTTAGTTTGCCTTTTGATTTGTAATAATTCTCAGTTGCAGATGTGTTTACCTATTGCATGAATACTTTTGACTTGTTACTTTGGGGTCGTTTTGATGAATTTCTATGATTATTGCTATGTCGTTTTTTTGGGTTGTTATAATCATGATGCTATAACTTTTCATTCATAATTTGTATCGAGATGATTTGTTTACATTGCTTATTTTTACAAAAAATTGAGTTTCTACCAAACAACCGCTAAATTGTTTTTGAGTTTCTATTAGGGATGACAAAAAAACCCGAAACCAATGGTGGAAACCTAAAACCGAAGCTTTCGGGCCGGGTTCGAGATATCTTATCGGGGACAGTGTAGGGATCGGGGATAATTTTGGAGATTTTAACCGGGACGGGGACGGTGATCACCGGCCCGACCCGATATGTGTATATAATTTTATTTACACACACACACATATATAATATATATATATATATATATAATATATATATATAATATTATTAAAAGAAAATAGTAACATTAAAATTTTTAAAAAAAATTATCCACTTTACCTCAACAACCCAAACGAGGCTCACGAAAAAAGTCTAGTTTATTTGTCTAATCGTGAAATCGTGATTTTAATTGTATGATGTTTGAATTTCTGTTTAGTTTTATATTGTAATCTAATACATTGTTTGTAATTGGTTCGATTATCTTTGAGACATTTAAACTTATATCTTTAAAAAAATTGTAATCAACTTTTAGTTGTGAAAATTAACGTATCGTAATTTTTTTTAGATCGGTTTTGGGTTTCGGTTTCATATTCGATTATAACCAATGGTGAATGGGAAAAAAAGGATTTTCTTTTAACAGGTTCCCCAACGAGGAGCAGAGAAACCACGAGAACCCGATGGGGATCCCCGATAATATCCCTGATGGGGATCGGGACGGTTGCGAGGATAGTCTTAGTTATCGGTTTTAAGGAAAGAAATACCAATAACCGACCCGAACCCGTCCTGTTGCTGTTACTTCTTTCTATTGTATAGCCATCTTGAAGGAATATTTAAAGAAAATTTTATATTTTGATTTATTGTTACCGAAATTGAATTTTCATAAAGGGTATTTTTGTCATTAAAAATTTAAGCATATTTTCTAAATAATGTGTACGTTAATCATATTTATGGTAGGAGCCTCAAGGAACTCAATCGTTCCTTTCAAATTACAATTATATTCGATTTTTTCTAGAAGAGACAAAGGTTAGGTATTGACATAGAGATTTTTAATATAATCTTTGAGTAAACAAATTTGGTCCATGTGGTTTGTTAAAAATATCACTTTTAATCCTTATTGTTTCGAAATTATAAGATAATCATTATGGTTTGTGAAAACATCCGGATTTGGTCCCTGTTTTTAACAGTTGTTAAATAAGAGACATTTTCATTCTATTATCCATTTTTTTTTCTTTTACCCATTCAAAACTACAAAGAACAAAATCATACAGTAAATTTTGATTGGATAAAATACAAAAAATCAATCAAAGAACAAAAATACCTTTGATTTAACGGAATTTTTTAACAACCATTAAAGAGAAGGATTAAGTTCAATCAACTTTTAACAAGTCAATAAGGGTTGACTAGGTGATGAGCAAATATTGGTAAACACAATTCCAGGACAAGGTTAAATGCGTTGTAATAGTGAAATGTGAAGATATAATGACTTCAATTTCATGTACTCCAAAAGGAAAAACATATGTAAGATCCCACATTGGTTGGGAAAGGGAACAAGAGTTGCTTTATAAGAGATCAAATATCTCATATATCAGACACGTTTTAAAACCGTGAATCCAGTTGTGGACAAAGCGGACAATATTTAGAATAGTCAACATGTAATGTTACAGATGGTATCAAAGTAGGGTACAAGATTGATGTCCTAGCGAAAACATTGGGCTCCTGGGGGGATTGTAAGATCCAATATCAATTGGGTAGAGAAACAAAGGTTGCCATATAAGGAGACTGAATGTCTTATCTATTCGAGGCGTTTTAAATCGTGAGTTCATGAATAAACAAAACAGACAGTATCTGACACGATTAGTCTGTGATGTTACAACAAATAAACGTCATAATCTTACGATTTTAACAGTTTAAAAAAAAAGGCTAAAATAATCTTAAAAACCGTATAATTACGCTTTTTATCCTTTCTTGGATTCCATTTTTGGTAAGTGTTAGGAATGTGTATTATTCTTTCTTGCCATAATTGAAAACTTGAATATTTGTATTGAATATAAATATAAAACAATTAATAATAGTTGTTATTATTGAATATTACAACCATAATTCTTTTCCCTTGGTTAATGAAAGGGGCAACTCATTATTGATAATCAATAACACCTATTAATTTGTATCATAATTACATACATTCGCATTTACTATTTCATCTAAAAGTTGTCAAATGAAGTGTGTGTGTATATATATATATAAACAACCAGTTTTGCGAGCCGATTAATCTCAAGATGACCATTTGCTTTGCAGATAGTTTAGAGTTACTGTATTTGAACCTCCGTGATCATAAGAGGATTTTTATTTTTTCTTGGATTTGAACTGAAACCCCTTGGTATTTTTGACATTTGGAGCAAAGCTCAAACCAATCAGACACCACCCTTGTATTACTATGTATGTATTTATTACCATCCATTCTTTAATTCATAATATTTATTTTAAGCTCTTATTTGAAAAAAAAAACATTCTGACTGTTTGGCAATTGCTGAATGGTTTGGTGCTGAATGATTAAGTGGTCAGAATGATTAAGAGGCTCTCATGATATAGTGCAAAATGAAACGTAATAGTTTGGTAACTGTGTATAATAAAATTAGAGATCTTAATGGTTAAGGGAGATCCATGATACAAAATCATTAAGAGGGTTTTAGAACCATTAAGAGACAAACTATTTTTTTTGACAAACAAGATTCATCTCTTAATGATTCAGATGTTATCTCTTAATGATTCAGAGGTTGTCTCTTAATGGAATTATTAAGAGGTAAACAAACAACTCCTAATATTAAAAACGTTCAGAGGTATTAAGAGCTGAATACCAAAAACAAACAAACCCTTAAAGAAAGTAGATTGTAGACCTGTTTTGATCACAAGAAAGATGAGTAAAAATCTGTTAATATTAAAAAGTCTGATCGAATCAAACTTCAGAGGTATTAAAAACTTAAAAACTGAATATCAAAAAACAAAGACCCCCTAAAAGAAAGTATATTGTAGAGCTGTTTTTGTCACGTGATCACAAGAAAGATGAGTAAAGATGGTATTTTTATGTGATTAGATTTTTTTTTTTGTTGAAAAAGAAAGAAAATCTCTTCATACACCAAAAAAAATGAACAGAAATCAAAGTAAAACAGGAAGAACACAAAGCATAATCACAAGCTTTGGCGGGATGTTTATGGGGTTTTCACCTTTCCAAATTTATAAAAACTAAGTTCATATTTTCAACCTTTTGAACAGTACTCTCATTCTCTTTCTCTCTCTGCTAATTCACATCTTTTTTTCCCTCGTTTTGATGGCGAATTGATTAAAAAATCAAATACCCATTTGAATTTTACTGTTATTTCACGCTTCCCATCGCACTATCTTTGTCAGATTCGCTAATTTTGCTTCCATTGCAAGTTCCCCATCTCAGATCCCGCATTGTTAGGTAACATAATGCTGATATCTATCTATTCGATCTCTTCTTTGATTTCTGTAAGTATACTTCGACTGTGATGTTTCAGCTTTGGTTTTTCTTTTCATCAATTTTTGGCTTTTTTAGTAAGTTTTTCAACTGGGGTTGTCTTAATTTGATGCAAATGTCTGAACCATGAATAATATTTTTACTTATTTTCGTCAAATTACGGAAGTGCGTTCTACACTGTTCTTTGTCATTTTCTACATTTTTAAGCTCAACATTGAGCTACTGTTGCGAGAAAAGGGTTTTCCTTTTTCCTTTTATTATCTTCTACTTTGATTCTACATTGATCTTTGAGTTCTTTCTTTCAGGATTCCCAGAGGATCCCTTTTCTATTCCCTCTTGCTTAATTGAAGTTTGTGTTTATAGTGCTTAGGGTTTCGGATCAGAGTCAAATTCATCAATAAGTTGAACAAAGGTAAGCATTTATTCTGGTTTTGATCTCATTTTTTGTGTGATCATGAATAAACTCAATGTGGGTTTGTCTGCAATTCTTGATTTGTATAACAATTTTAAAGATCTCGGTTTTATACATCACAAATCTATAAGTTTTGGGGGAAATTCATTGTCTCGTAGTTGAATAAAGTTTAATTTATGGTTGATTAAAAAGTTGAATCTCAATCAGGGTTTTACCACATTATGTTTTGTAGCTTTTCGTAAGAATTTTCTGCTTTTTGTAAATCAGTTTAGCCTAGGAGATGTTTGAGCATCAAAGCATGATTAATTTTCTTTAGGATCTTTATACTTTATTAGTAGTACTTTTTCATCATATACATCTATGGGATTGTAAACAACCTTAGGGTCTGTTGAAGGTACAACCTCTAATGCGTGAAGTATAACTTCTAATGCACACAAGTTTGTAGATTCATACAACAGGAAGAAGGTTCATAGGAGGATATAAGTTCACCAGGTATAAAAGAGTAAGCAGAATGCTTAATCTTGATAAAGAAAAACGTAGAAGCAGTCATTGCAGAAAAGTGTGGGGAGTCAGGGACCCCATAAGTCACTGTCTTACGGTACAAAAGTTGTGCGAACCACCAATGCATGTCTTAAAGCACATTTGGGCATTGCTGACTGAATTTCGTGCAGTGATTGCTGATAGTTTACAAACTATATATATTCTCTAGGTGATGGAAAGAAATGTGTTTAATCATGAGAATTGATGGCAACCGGCAATTTGACACACTTATTCCATCTCCACAAAGGAAGTCAGTTTCTGTTATCTGATTTGGTACAGAGGCTGCTTTTACTATTTCTTGTTCACAAGAGAGAGTATTGATGCTAGATATAGTCTCTAGGCACCCAATACCACCTAAAAGATGGCATGTTCTAAACTTTCTAGTCTATTTCGTCTTATGTTATTGATTGGATTCTGTTGAGCTGAGACGTTGTTCTTGCAAACTCAACAAAATGTAGGTTGTGGTACATTGGTTATGCAATAATGTCAAGGGTTACCAAATGGAAACTTGAGAAGGCTAAAGTAAAAGTTGTCTTTCGGCTGCAATTTCATGCTACACATGTAAGTTTCTCTTTTCTATCTCTTTTCATTTTGATTTCTAGTATCACTTGGATGTTGCCAAATGGTTAGTATCTGGTAGTTGTACTGTACAAGAGATGCACAAAACCAAGAGGTTAATTGTCTTTTCCCAACATGTGTTTTTCGATTGCCTTTTCTCAAGTAGGATGTATTCCTTTCAATTCCTTACAAGTAATTGCGTCAATGAAAAAATGAAACTACACCAAAATAATGTAGTATCGGATTCTTAATTCTCATATGTATACAAATCTAGTAATAGTTATGCCTTATATATTTAAATGAATCCTTATGTGTCAGCTGAGATGTATAAGTCGCTAGAATGTCGCTTGACTGCCTAGCTTCACTTCGCTTCTTAAACAATGAAAAAACATTTTATATGCATTGTCTAACATGTCAGATTTCGGACCAATTTCTTTCACCAGAATCATTATTTTGGAGAATGAATATGAATCTATATGTGTGTGTGTGTGTGTATGTGTCAAGTTACCTATGATTATGGTACAATGCTAAATCAGAAAATGACCATTATCCCAATGTTGGTGCTAATCCACCCCATCCCTTGAAATGGTTGCGTTTCAGATTCCGCAGAGTGGATGGGAAAAGTTATTTATATCTTTTATTCCTACTGAAACTGGGAAGACCACTGCAAAGACTAGCAAAGCCAATGTGAGAAATGGTTCATGCAAATGGGCAGATCCTATCTATGAAACTACAAGGCTTCTGTTAGATTCTAAGAGCAAACAATATGACGATAAGCTCTACAGACTTGTTGTCGGAATGGTAAATTTCCCTTTTTTGCTTCTGGTCAATATATTGCGTATCCAGGGCCATCTTTATAAAACTTTGACCATTTATCTCTTTATCGTAAAATTAGAAGTTTTTATGTGTTAGATTATGCTGATTTTGTCATTTGAGTTGGATTTATTGGTTAATTCCGTTATTAAATGTTATTAACTATGCTTTGCCATGATTTGGAGCTTAGGGTACTTCACGGTCTAGCATCCTAGGTGAGGCTACTATCAATCTTGCTGATTATGCTGATGCAACACAGCCGTCTGCTATCGGTCTCCCTCTTCATGGATCCGATCATGGAACCATTTTGCATGTAATAAACTCTGAATTCTTATATATCTGTTCTCCTAGCAATGTCTTTATACGACAACTTGAAATGCCTGATGTTTGGGAAGAATGCCCTAAACCATCAATACTCAAAAGCTTACAAAATCAACAGTAGATATAAACTCACGGTTTGTAAACAGATAGTAGTTCAAAAACTCACAGGTTATATCAAAACAGTAGTTAAACTCACCTTGTTATAACAGATTCTGTATTAAAAGATCACACAACAAAACATGTTACATTGGAACCAAGAAACAGTCCAAATATGGCGCCCTTGGGGCTTTCTATTTGATTGTATCGAAAGTTCCAATGAATTGGGATTTCCAGTCTTCTTCAGTTATTTCATATATTAGGTCATAATTGACATAATCTTTTTTTTTCCAGGTTACAGTTCAGCTGCTGACGGCTAAAACTGGATTCAGGTATAGCTTCTTGAAATCCTGATTAGACTGCTCTCTAGTTACTGGTATTAAGTAATCTGTTGCTCTGATGCAGAGAATTTGAACAGCAGAGGGATAAAGGATTGCAAAGTGGCAACAATGTAAATAGAGAGAGCGAATCTAGTGTTGTCAAATCGTCGTCTTCCGAGTTGCAGATACCCGATGATCAAGTTAATAAGGTTAGCTCATTTTTTCACCAAAATCTGCTGCTCTTATGTCATGTATTCTGAATTTTATTTGTCATTCATATAATGGGAATATAAACTAAACCAAACGAGCCCAATATATGAATGGCAAACAATCCTTCATGTTGCTAAATTGCTCGTGCTTGCTCTGCTTTCTATAGGCCAAGACACATATACAACTCAGATCACAATCTAAAGAGCTTCTGTCAGTTGTGGAAGAAACGGGAGTACGTGAAGAATATTCAGATTCACAGGTTACGTGTGATGGCTCATCCAATGCGTCAGAAAGTTACTATGCTGACAAGCATGATCCATATAGCACTCATGAAGTCGATAGTCTTAAGAGCAGGGTTTCTGGGAGTCAAAGCTCACCAGGGGATGGTTCTAATCACCACAAGTTGGCTCAGAGAAGTGGTTCAGATTATTCCATGGACAATGACTTGGTAATTGCTTATGAAGAGAATCATAGGCTCAGAGGAAGCCTGGAGGTGGCTGAGTCATCCATTTCCGAGCTCAAGGTGGAATTAAGTGTTTTACAGAGTCATGCTAATGAAATGGGTACTGAAACAGAAAAGTTGGCACAAGAACTAGCCACTGAGATTGCTTCAGGTCAAGAACTAGCAAAAGAGGTTACTGTTCTTAAATCAGAATGTTCAAAGTTCAAAAATGATTTAGAACAGTTGAAAGAAATGAAATCAAGCTCAAAGTATATGGAGAGAAAAATAGAGCAAAGTGGGCACCAAAAGCAGCTCAGATGGGTAAATGGGGTTTTACTTGTGGAAGATCGAATAAGGGAACTCCAAGAAAAGATTTACATCGGTTTTCGTGAGTCTGATTTCAGTTTCTTACACTCCGATTTGGAGGTGCTCCTGAGTACGGTGCAGGATCTTAAGAAAGGAACAGTTGAGGCACTACCACTTCAACATGAGGCTCTTGCTATGAATATCGATGAGCCTGAAAGCATGCTTCACTTTGGTAAAATACCAAGTTCACCTCTTCAAGAACCTGGATCTACAGGAGTGATTGATTCAACAGAAGGGAGTCATTTGGAACTTTTAAGCCAGTTGGATATTGCAAAAGCTGAGAGGGAAAGTCTTGTTAGAAAGATGAACCAAATGGAGTGTTACTACGAGGCACTTGTGCAAGAGCTTGAGGAAAATCAAAAGCGGATACTGGGAGAGTTTCAGAGCCTTAGAAATGAGCATTCGACATGTGACTTCACCATTTCCACTTGCAAAGCTGAATCTGAGTCAATACGGCGTGATATGAATGACCAGATGGTAAGATTTACTGAAGAAAACCATGAGTTGGGTTCAATTAATAAGGAGCTTCAGAGAAGAGCTACAACTTCAGAATCAGCACTCAAAAGGGCTCGTCTGAATTACTCTATCGCAGTGAGTCAGCTCCAGAAGGATCTTGACATGCTATCCTTCCAAGTTTTGTCCATGTTTGAGACCAATCAGAACGTTCTTAAGGAAGCTTTCTCAGACCCTCCTCAACATTTAGTCGAGGATTTTCAGGAATCAGATGATACTTTAGTCTCAAATCTTCGGAGTAAACAGCCCTCAGGTGGTGATGTTCTTTCAGATGACCTGAAGAAATCTCTGAGCTTGCAAGAAAATATATACAAGAAAGTTGAAGAAGAGCTTGGTGAAATGTCTTCTGCAAACTTATACTTGGATGTGTACTCAGGGATTCTCAAGGAGACGTTGTTTGAAGCAAGTGATCATATAAGAAAAATGAAGGGGAAATTAGAAGAGTTGTCACAGCAGTTAGAACTTTCGAACCAATCGAGGGATCTTTTATTCAGGAGACTGCAGACTGCTGCAGAAGATGTTCATTCCCTGAACGGGCAGAATGCATATTGTCTTGCCAAATGCAATGATCTGCAGCTGCAAAACCAAATGTTGGAAGCGGATTTAGGAAATCTTTCAAACGAGAACTTTCTCCTCATGGAAAAGATTACTGAATGTGAAGCATTGCTCATGGATTACCGAGTTTACAAAAGCAAACATGAAGTTGTTTCTGCTGAAAAGCTGGAGCTGGAAAATCTCCTGGAAATACGAGTTCTGGATAATCAGAATCTCCGTAAAGATATGGAATCTGTGAAGGAAGAATTAGAAACTCTAAGATCTGGAATTCATGAGTTGGCTATATCGAAAGAAACTATACAGAAAGATTTGGAGAAGGAAAGGGATATAGCTGCATTGTCCTTGAGTGCTGCCAGATCAGAAATTGATGACGTAAAGAGGAGATTTAAGCAAGGTTTACATGATATGGTGGCAAAACTCGACACACCCAACGCTTCTTTAGAGAAGCTTCAGTTTCAACTTGACTCTTTTGCCAACAAATTCAAAAGTAGCTTGGAATCAAAGGAAAGACATGTGCAGCACAGTGAAGTTCTTTTAACGTACCTTTCTTCCTTGGAACTTGAGCTGCAAAAGATGTCATCTGAAGATAAGAACTTTATTGAAAACATCATGGGATTGGATATGATGGCTGAAGAATTTGAAATGAGTAAGTTGGCTATTTCTGAATTGAAACAAGAGAATCAGGATTTGATGATGCATGTGAAAAATAAGAGTGAGGAGTCCATTAAGCTCTTACCAGAGCTCGATAGACTGAAAGAATGTTTGAAATGTGTGAATGATGAACTGGATGTTGAGAGAGATCTGAAAAGCAAACTAGAGGGTACCGTTGCATCTCTGACCTCCCAACTTGAAAGCCAGAGGTCTGAGCTCAGCCATGTTAGGAAACTTGCATCAGATCAAGAATCAGAAAACTTTAGAGTTGTCAAACTTCTCTCACTACATGAAGAGAGTCTAGAAAAGCTTAGCAAGAAGCATTCTGCTGATGTTTCTCTTGCATGTCAGTTGTCAGAGATGCAGGAAACCATGATTTCTGAAGATCTAAAACTTACTTTCGTTAGATCTCAGTATGAAACTTGGATTGAGGAGCTTGGGAAACAGCTTCAAGAACTTGAAAGCAAGCACCTCGATAATGAGGCAAGATTGAATCAGTCTCTTGCAAGTGAAGCTCATTACATCGAAGAAAACAAAGAGTTGACGAACGCACTGAAATCCCTCAGAATGGAGTTAGAAACTTCTGTTGCTCAAAATTTAGTCTTTTCAGACTCGATCAATGTTCTAACATGTGAGCTTGAGCAGTACAAGGATAAGGTGGGAGTGCTGGAGCTTAGTTTGTCGAATGAAAATAATCAGCATGCTGTTGAAGTTGGTCAGTTGAAAGATTTGTTGGCCAAGTCTGAGTCAGAGGTTGGGCAGTATAAAGAACTTCAGATGAAACTTCATGATACAGAGGCAAGGTTGAACCATTGTCTTGAAAATGAAGCTCGCTATATAAAAGAACATGAAAGTTTGGTGACAACCCTTGAATCTCTTAAATTGGAGTTAGAGGCCTCTATTGCTCACAATGCAGAAATTTCAGAATCTAACAATCAGCATGCTGCGGAGTTAGGCCAAATGAAAGATATGTTGGCAAAGTCTGAATCAGAGGTTGGGCAACACAGGGAACTTCAAATGAAACTTCATGATACTGAAGTGAGATTGAATGACCTTCTCAAAAGTGAAGTTCATTATATTGAAGAAAACCAGAAGTTGTCAACGACCCTTGAATCTGTTAGATTGGAGTTGGAGGCTTCTATTGTTCACAATGCAGAAATTGCAGAATCAAACAATGTTCTTTTGCAGTGGAAAGATAAGGCGGGAATGCTTGAGATTAATCTGACAGAGATAAACAATCAGCATGCTGATGATGTTGGTCGGTTGAAAGATTCATTGGCCAAGTCTGAATCAGAGGTTGGGCAGTATAAAGAACTTCAGATGAAACTTCATGATACAGAGGCAAGATTGAACCATTTTCTAGAAAATGAAGCACATTACATTGAAGAAAATGGAAAATTGGCAACGGAACTTGAATCTCTTAGATTGGAATTAGAGGCTTCTGTTGTCCAAAATGCAGAAATTTCAGAAAAATGGAAGGATAAAGTGGGAATGCTCAAGAGGAGTCTCACAGAGGTAAAGAATCAGCATGCTGTTGAAGTAGGTCAGCTGAAAGACATGTTGGCTACATCTGAGGTGGAAGTCGGGCAATTGAAGGAACTTGAAATGAAGCTTCATGATACAAAAGAGAGATTGGATCATTGTGTCAAAAGTGAGGCACGATATATTGAAGAAAATGACGAGTTGTTGAGAACCGTTGAATCCCTCAGATCAGATTTAGATGCTTCTATTGTTCAAAATGCGTCCCTTTCAAGCTCCAACAATGTTCTTATGATTGAGCTTGAACAGTACAAGGATAAGGTGGGATCAGAGGATGCAAGTATATTTCTGGAAAATACTAATCTGAAATGCACGTTGGCTGAGTCTGTGTCAGAGGTAGATGGTTTGTTATTTTCCAGGGAAGAATCAGAGATGGTATCGGTGGTACTCAAAGCCAAGTTAGAGGAACAGAATGATGAATTGATCATGTTGCAAAATAAATCTGCTGAACTTACAAAGAAACTCGCTGCACAGATTCTGAAGACAGAAGAGTTTAAGAACTTGTCTATATACTTGAAGGAGCTCAAAGATAATGCTGATATTGCCCGCGAGAAAAAAGATCCCGAAGGGCCATCAGAATCATTGCGAATGGCCTTTGTAAAAGAACAATATCAAACGAAAATGCAAGAATTAAAGCAACAACTTTCTGTTTCCAAAAGGCATGGTGAGGAAATGCTATTTAAGTTACAGGACGCCCTTGATGAAATCGAGAGTAGGAAGAAATCTGAAGCTTCTCAGTTGAGGAGAATTGACGAATTATCGGTCAAGATTGTGGAATTGGAAGCAGAACTACAATCAGCAACTTCTGATAAGCCTAATTACGACAGGATACAGGCTGAACTGGAATGTGCTCTCTTGAGCCTTGAATGTTGCAAGGAAGAGAAAGAAAAGCTTGTTGCTTTATTACAAGAATGTGAGGAGGAGAAGTCTAAAATTGTGGTTGAACTTTCTGTGATTAGAGAGCAGCTTGCCCAGAAAGAAGAAAACAGCGTATCAGACAAACATCGGCATATGGGCTTAAATGGTTCTATGGACTATAAAGAAGTAAAATCTGCCACTTCAACTCAAACCGGTGAAGCTGAAAACCCAGTAATCCCCATAAATGTACGAGCCATCCAGGTAATCATGAATCAGACTTCATAATGATCCTAAGTATGATTTAATTATTTCCTTACTTTGAGTAGATGTAAGCCACAATAAGTTGATAGGATGCTTTTGGGGGTCCTAACAAGTTTTTTTAGGACAATTTTGAAATAAAACGTTCTATTAGTTGTTTTATAAAGAAGTTTTGGTTATCAGTATTCATGTAAGTTTATTTGGTTGAATATTGGTGTAGGAAGGAGTTTCAGGGTCTGAAGGGGTTCATGGTGTTACAGAGCATGCATCTGCAGACGAAGAGAGTTCATTGCTGAATGATTCAAAGCAACTAACTGTTGTGAATGATCAATTCAGAGCTCAGCATTTGAGATCTTGTATGGAGCAACTAGACGAAGAGGTAGACTTTTAGGATTTTCAATTGCTAATATTTGTTTTCGTATTGTTGATCACAATCTAAGCTTTCTGCATTCGTCTTTTGCCAGTTGGAAAAGATGAAAAACGATAATTCTCTTCTTCCATTGACTAATTATGACCCAAGTTTTCAAGATTTACAGAGAGAACTTGTGCAACTACGGAAGGTAATTATGACCCAAGTTTTCAAGATTTCTTGGTTTTCTTTGCTTTTTAGTTTTCCTGATTATTAGTTTCTGAATCGCCCTAGGCCAATGAAGAATTGGGGAGCATATACCCAAATTTTATTGATCTCCCGGGAAATGGAAATGCGTTAGAACGGGTGCTTGCTTTGGAAATTGAGCTTGCGGAAGCACTTAGGACAAAAAAGAAATCGAGCATCCAATTCCAAAGGTATATGTAACTAGAGGAAAGCAAATGAGAACCATAAACATTTCGATAACCTGTGTCAACCAACTGTTTCATGTGTTAAGTTTCATCATGAATATCCATTATGCATTCATTATGAATAAAGCATGTATAGTTGAACTAACATCTTAATTATATGGTCGCAGTTCTTTCCTTAAACAACACAGTGATGAGGAGGCCGTGTTTAAAAGTTTCAGAGACATCAACGAACTGATCAAAGACATGTTGGAAATCAAAGGGAAGTACGTTAATGTCGAAACTGAACTGAAAGAGATGCATGATCGTTACTCTCAATTAAGCCTGCAGTTTGCCGAGGTCGAAGGAGAGAGACAGAAACTGATGATGACCCTAAAAAACGTACGGTCATCCAGGAACATGCTTCGCTTGAATCGCTCACCAATTCCAATTCCTACTCTAGAAGATCATCATCCTTTATAGTGTAAAATTAGTCAAAAAGTTTGCAGTTTTGTGAATAAGAAATCGAAATCGATCCATGGCTGCTGAGAGTTGAGAGTTGGGTTCAACTGCAAGAAGCTTGAATCTGGATTGGATGCAAAATCTTTTATGGTGGCGTATATAACTAAAGGTTTTGCCAATGGTTTAACTTACAAGGTGTAGAATGCAGGCTTCCTCAATGTTGTAATTGATATGTATAGTCAAGTTCGTGGCGGGTCCCGGTTTTCTGATGTCCTGAACGAGAAGGTAAAATAATGCCCCCACTATTTAAAAACTATAAATAGAACATACTGTTTTTTAAAGGGTTTGGAATCTACTCAAGTTAGGCATCTCATACCGAAACCAATTTTTGTTATTGTTATCGAATGATAATTTATTTTTTGTAATGCATATCTTATGATTATATAATATCATAATGCAATCTCAAGTTAAACTGAATTTTAGAAACTTACATATAATGATGGTTGTGCTCAAACTAATTGTATACGGCCATATAAAGATGTTTAATTTGTCTTAAAACTTAGGAAAACTTAATACTATACGTGTATCATAATTTTAAATAGCTGCTTAAACATCACATTGAAATAATTCAAACTCAAAATGATTTCTTTTGGCATTGTTCTAATTGATCTACAAAGTTTATATATATATAAATATTACAACATACAATCAAATTTGATTTCCTGTTCAAGATTCAAGAGAGTTTCCACCCATAATCAGGCAGCAGCTTGACCAAACAGCTCATGAGATCTGCATAAACAAACATCTGCGAATGTATAAAGTTGCCTGCAAACACTTTTGGTCAAATTCCCACTTGGATCACAGAATTGTGCAGAAACAGCTATTCTTTTCGGGGGCATTTTGCGACTTCTCTGTTACAAAATCACAATGAAAATTTCAGAAATATCGTTCCAACACCAGAGGCATAGTTTGGCGTATTAGAGTCTCATATCGACTAAACTTAGACCATTCTCCTCTATATATGTTGGAACTTCCTTTCTCTCCTCAAGCGCTCTTTTGGAGAGTAATCTAATGGAATTCCACGTGGTATTTGAGCCGAGATCTGCGACTCTAGGGCAAATCCGTACTTGTCTACCCCCTTTCGACACTCTGGACCCGTCTAGCCTCTGTTGCAGGGGCGTGTAAGAGTCCCAAGTCGGCTAGACTTAGATTATTTCTCCCTTCCCTCCTTAAGAGCTCTTATGGAGAGTAATACGGGGGTTCCATTACATGGAAGGACCAAGTTATCGACAAAGTTTCACATAAGAACTCGATTGAAGAATCTAAATGGGTGTGACCACATATGTATCAAAACACAAGATTTTCATTAAATATCTTGTTTCATTCACAACTTAAGCATACACCGTTACGCATCAAAACACAAGATATTCATTAAATTCAGGTTCAAAAAGGTCGATGAAGGTTGCAAATTACCGCTGTTTTTGTCTGCCATTGGAGGACGAACAACAACATGCATCACGATCACACCTCCAGGAATTTCACTGACCAGAGACCGGGATTCAGCGAGTGTTTTGTTGTTCTCCAGTATCTTTCCGGCGTGGATCAGCTTCATATCGTTTACTGTTTTCGGCACGTTGTCTCTTTCTGTCATAATAAAGATTTTGAATTCACAAAAAATGGAGATCAAATGTTGTTTTCTAGCACCCAAAACACATAGAATTGGTGATTCTACTTCTGAATCAAGAATTATGAACCAATGAACTTGAATCAAAGAACAACACATCAATTTCAGCAGATCAAAAACAGAAGCTAATCAAAGCAGCCCATATATATATATATATATATATATATATATATAACAAGAATCCCAACAAAAAACAGGAGATAATACAAGAAAATTGCCAGAAAATATTGCAAATCAAGAAAGGAAATTACCATGGGGCCACAGTGAAACTATTTTCTCTTTGAGATCTGCCACAGTGGTTGTAGAACTGTATTTGCTTGGTCCAATATCACTGCCATCAGGTAACCTGAACTTGACTTCAATCAGTTCTTCAGCAGCCATTAAAACCCCAAGATTTTTTTCAAGAAAATTTGAAACTTTTTGTAATGGGTAAGGTATAAACCCTAATGTATCAAAAACCCAGATTGAAATTTGCACTAAAAATCAATCATGTAGCTGGGTTTTCAGTTTTTGAGATGAGGAACACCAGAGAAGAGAAAATTAAGGAATCATGAAGAATATGTCAAAAAGAAGGAACTTTTTTAAAGGGAAAAAGCACCAAGATTTGAATTGAATAACTAAAAATCAATGATTTTGATTCCTTTATTTGTCAGTTTGAAGAGATTTGAAGAGGCAGAAAAGGAAGGAATCAAACAAGAACAAGGGTTTTGAATAAAAGAAAAGAGAGATAAGAAGGTTTCTTGATGTGGAAAGGAAGTAAACATAGAAACAAGAATTCAAGCTCTCTTCCCTATGAAGAAAAGACAAGTTGTTTCTTTCAATTTTGGATGGATATTGACCGACAAATTCATGCTCCATTTCAACCAAACGCGGGTAAGTTAAAGGGCGGTTTACTAAATGTTTATTCGGGTAAATGTTTATCAAATCGTGTTATTTTATCGGATGAATATGTTAAGGACTAGAAATCTTACTTAGTAAGGAGACAAGGACCGAGACTCTTACCCGGTAAGTAAGGACGACGACTTTTACTATGGTAAGCGCTTACTAGGTAAATTGTTACATACGATGTTGTTTTGATGGACTAAAGTCTTACCCGGTAAGTAAATTGTAGTGTTAAATTTTACCTTTAAGCACTTACCGGGTAAGTATTTGGTAAATAGCCCCTTAAATAAAAGAATAGAAATTTTTTTACTCGTATTTTTTAGATCGAAAGAAAATGAAATATCAAAATTTTGGTTTTTTAAGTTTTTTGGTCGATTTCGAGTTTTTATGTAAATCTTTAAACTTTATACAAACTAAAAATATAACAAATCAGAGATTCTGCATTCGATTTACGTTAATTAATAAATGGTTTCATTGATAATATGATATTTATAAGTATTCATGTTTTATTTATTTAAAATTGAAAATTTTATTTAATAAAAAACAACATTGATTTATAAACCACAAGGGTGGTGTCTGATTGGTTTGAGCTTGACTCTAAATGTCAAAGGTACCTACAGGTCTGAGGTTCAAATCCAAGGAGGAATAAAAATCATCTTGTGGCTACGGAGGTTCAAATGCGATAACTCTGGGCTATCTGCAAAGCAGATGATCGTCATGAGATTAGTCGGCTCACATAATATGTTAGATATCCAGGTTAAACAAAAAAAACATTAATTTATATATTCCACAAGAACTGTAACCTCACGTTATATTGTACAACTTATGACTTTAATTTCGGAAAAGTCTAAAAAAGACGAAGGAAGTTTTCAATTTTGATGATTAAATTTGTAAATTACTTTTTTGATTGATTAATGATTGAGTTTCTGATTATCTTTTAATAAATAAATTCAAAATTCTATAAATAGATTGATTACATATTTTTAATATAAATAACTATTGTAATCGATTAAAAAGATTTTAAAATATAATTTTATTTTATCGTTTCCAAACTTTACAATATTCAAATCATTAGACCCATCCTCACTTCCTCTTGTCGGTTTTCACCGTTCTATAGTTGTATATTCTCCTTTACATCGAACCTTAAGAGTGTTCATCGGTTGAGATTCAATGGATTTAGGTCGATCTGGTCCGATCCAATCATCCATTGGATGTTGGATTTTATCATCCGATCCAATCCGATTAACATTGAACATCCGATCCGAACCAAATTCAGTGGATGATTGGATCAGATCGGTTTCATCCATTGGATGTTACTATTGGTTATCTATTGGATTGTATTTGATTCATCCAATCCTTCGATCCAAATATTCAACCAATTATTCATATATTTTCTTAAGTATTTAAAAAGCAATGTATATAACTATCAATCAAAAAACAAAATCGTAAAATATTAATATTTATATATAGTTATTAATTGGATGGTAAGTGGATGGGGAATTAGATGGTTTTTGTATTGGATAAGTTCTGTTTTATTGGATATTGGACTGTCATCCAATAACCGGCAGATCTGATTTGGATGTTGAAATTTCGGATCCGATCTGATCCAATCCAATTACAATTGGATATCCGATGATAGTTAGTCGGTTCTAATTGGATCGGTCTGTTGATATTGGATTTGATGACTTTCTGCACATCCCTACCGAACCCCATCTTTGGAACATACCATCAATCTCCCTTTTTTGATTTATTTTTCGTCCTTTGATTCTCTATCTTTTACAGCAATTTAATAAGTACGTATAGATAGATAAAAAAGGAAGAATAAAAAAACATAAGAAAAAAAACCCCGATCAAATAAAGAGAGATCGGTGGCAGGGACTAAAAACGATGATGGTAGGACATTGAGAATGATGGTGATGGAGTGACGAGGGGAGTACGAGTATAAATTGTGTGGGGTTTGAATGATTTAGGGTTTGGGAACGATAAAAATTGATTTAAGTTTTTTTCCTACTTTAAACTTTTCTAGCCTGTTATACGTAAGATTCCACATTGGTTGGAGAGAGGAACAAAAGTTGTCTTATAATGGAGTTGATACCTCATCTATCAAACGCGTTTTGAAATCGTAAGCCCAGATTTGTGGACAAAGAAGACAATATTCTATAAGGTTGACCCAAGATGTTACAAATAGTATCAGAGCTGTGAACCGGACTGGTGTGCCAGCGAAAACACTGGGCTCCCAAGGGGTGGATTGTAAGATCGCACATTGGTTGAGGAGAGGAACAAATGTTTCATTATAAGAACTTGATACATCCTCCATCAAACATGTTTTAAAACCATAAATTCAGATTTGTAGATAAAGCAGATAATATTTGGTATGGTTGGCCTGAAAAGTTACACATGTAGTTTTTTTGGGTTAAGAAGATATAAATAATCAGTTTCTTAAAGTTCAATCGTTTATTTATTCAAAAAAATTGTCCAAAAATTTAATTATTCAAAATGAGAAAATTTAATAGTTTATTCATTCAATTTTTTTTCAGTGACTCAATCACTGAAAATGGAAATTTTATCGGGTTTTTAAACTTTCGGTTCAAAATAATCGTTTTTTCATCTCTCGTATTTTAACATAAATGAAAATTTGGGGTAATTTTTTTTTCCTACATCTGAATTGTTTGATCTTCATTTTCTGTTTCTTCGTTGATATGTTCTTCATTTAAATCGTTCGAAATTAAAACAATTTGAATCTTACCCGGCAAGCGCTTACCAAGTAACATTACCTCACCGGATGGATATGGTAAGGACCAAAAATCTTACCCAGTAAGAGCGAGACAAGGACCAAGAGTCTTACTCAGTAAGTGAGGGCGACGACTCTTACCACAGTAAGCTCTTACCGGGTAAATTGTTGCATACAATGTCGTTTTTGAGGACTAAAATCTTACCCGGTAAATAAATAATAGTGTTAAATTTTTCCGCCAAGCAATTTACTGGGTAAGTGTTTGGTAAACGACCCCCTTATAATTAGTTATTTAGTTTATTTTATATCTCTTACTTTCTCATTTTCCATTTCACATCTTTATCATATTAACATAAATAATCGTGTATAAACTAAAAATGCATTAAAAATACGTTTATTTTTTTTACAAATTATACCATTATAATCTTCTCGTTAATACTTTCAAAATGATCTAAATATTAAATATTTTTTAAATTTAATCATATTATTAAATATCATGAATTACCTACGAATTAATCTATTTTTTTTATCCTTACGTTTTCATTTTACATATTAATCATATTATTAAAAACAAATATCATCGTTATGTGCCATGATACTTTAAGGGTATATACATCGATTCAGGGTAATTAATGAAATCGTAGAATTCAAGATCGAACTAATAATCTACGAAAACATAAACCAAAAGAATTTAATATTATATTAAAGGTTCAAACATGTATTAATTAATTAAGAAAATATGTGGAAAAACTAATTGGTCGTTTATTTATAGTATTACTTAGTGTATTTTAAAAGTTATTTGTATGGTAACAACGTCTAAAAACTACTTGTGTAGAAAATCTTGATATACTCTTGATCATTTATCTGCCACTGACTCTTTTGATTGTTTCATTCACATGAATTCTATTTTGTATTACAATATATCATAATTTTGTTATTAACTAAAAAACACTTCAATCTTTTGAAAAACTTATCGACCATATTAGACGGTCCAACTTATATCTATATTTAGAATTTCATGAGTGGGTGTCCTGTCAAACTTGTACGCACCTCAACTAATCCTAAGGACCCTAAAAGTTTAAAATTGTGATAAAAAAACATTAATCTGATGTGACAGGAAACCCAACTGATTTTTGTTGATTTAACTATAATGTTACCTTAAATAGTCGACATTGTGACCCTGTAATGATGTCAATTTATATATTAAAGGTATATCATAGAATATTCTTGGGTTGGTCGGGTTGATACTTTGGTACATTAAAATATTCTTCTAATCTTCACTATGTTATTTTTTTACTCATAATTTTTTTTTCATCAACCATTTGATACAATTTATCTATACTTCTTACGTATATCACATTCAGTTAATTTTCTCAATATATATATATATATATATATATATATGTTTACAGTTACTGAACATATATACGAATGAGTTATATAGAGATGTGAATAGATTGAAAATATGTGTATATGAATAGCGTACGTGATAGTGTAATTGTCTAGTGTATATAWTAATAGAAATTCAACAATCATATTAAATCCAAGAAATAAATGAATATCGGGTTCATCGGGTTGAGTTGGATTTAAACAATAGTAACCCAATATCAACCTGATACCTACGGTTTAAATTTTTTACAACTCAATTAAGGGGGTGTTTGGGTAAGCTTTTCAAACTGACTTATTTACTTATTTCAGTTCGGTACCGGAGATAAGTCATTTTGGAGTGTTTGGGTAAAAAAAAAAAGTGCTTATACCGGTACCAAACCGGTAATAAGTCGTTTTTGATAAGTCAATCCTCCCTGACTTATCAAAATCAACTTATTAACAATTTACCATTTTAACCCTTACCTTCCTCTCACCAAAGCCTCAGTGAATCTCAAACCAGTACCAAACCAGAGAATCTCAAACCAGAGAAATCTCAAACCAGAGAAATCGAGGTCTGTCCATCTCACCAAAGCCTCAGTGAAGCCTGTGAAATCAAATCAAATGTCATCTTGGAGACGGATGTCGTCTTGGAGACGGAAGTCGGTGCCAAGAAACTCGCCGATGCAGAGGTTCTCGGGGAGAAACCACTGACAGGAGATCGCGATGACAACCTCTTCCACGGCGGGTGCAAACACCGATGAACACTAGAGAGGAATCTGGAGAAA